ACTGGAAACAAGAAGGACTACTATTTTTATTTTCTTCCAACCCTAGTGAAGGCAATGGTATGAAATCACAGGTACCATTGTATAGTTCTGGTGTGCTGTCACTGGGTTCACTAGGAGCCCCCGGTGGCACAATGGGTTTAACCCTTGTGCCAGCAGGACTGCTGACCTGAAGGTTGTCAGTTTGAATCTGGAGAGCAGGGTGAGCTCCCATCTGGCGGCTCTAGCTTCTCATGCTGGGACATGAGAGAAGCCTCCCACGGGATAGTAAAACATCTGGGTGTCCCTGGGCAGCATCCTTGCAAGCAACCAATTCTCTCACACCAGAAGTCACTTCCAGGTTCTCAAGTCACTCCTGACACGAAAAAAAAAATATCTGAGTTCACTGCCATAGGTTGAAAGGCCATAGGATAAAGCATAGCTAATTGCCCATTTTTGCCATCTTGCTGGCATTTCCCAGCAAGAGCCCAAGATCCTGGGATATAGAGCATGTCTTTTAGGGCCCTCAGTGACACTCCCATGATATGTTTCTCTATGCTGAACCATAAGCCCCTGTTACAAACTAAACTTTGTGACTCGCATTTTGAGTGAGAAGTATGTATATGTGTGTGTGTGTGTGTGTGTGTATTTGGATTTGGTGATCAGGTGCCCCTATTTTAGTGTCTTCAAAAGCAAGTATTAAACCTTTTGTATTTCCGTAATTGAGATAGACAAAAACATGTGTTGTGAAACTTCCAGTGTTCAGGCAGTTTTTTTCTCATTCATGCAGTATATGGCAGTACTTTCATCAGTGGGAAGGGTTTTTTCCTCGCAGAATGGCAAAGACATAGAATTCCCTATTGTGCATTTAGTAAACAGGCATACATATACAGTAAAAACATGCCTCCCCTTTCCCCATCTTCAGCAAGGAAGATTAATAACACGGTTATCTTACAAAGTTATCTCAACTACTGGGAGGCTAGCAGTTACTGTTTCTTTAAAAATATGCTACCTTTTGTTTCCTGGAAACCCTCCACATCCTGATAATTTATGCTTACAGGCCAGTAGTGGTCCATTGACCACCTCAGCACTGTATTAAAGAATGCATGCAAAGCAGTTTGGCACTGTATTAGAGAACAATGCATGCGAAGCAGTTTGGACACTGGAAAATTTCTTACAAATGTTAGGTGTTATTATTTAATGTCATTCATTATTAACTGGCTAAGATGTAACTTTCTCAGCTGGTCTGAATAGAATTTAGGTATACCCATAATTGTTATGGAGTTTTTTAAAAAAACTGACAAATTTCCAATACAGCAGATTTAAGGATTTATTTATTTTTGTCCCAGTCTCTTGTGAAAGTCAGTGGATGACCCCACAACCTTTCCCTTAATATCAAGGAAAAGATAGCCACCTTTTTCTGTGCTATTCAGAAAAAAAGACATTCTTCTTGGACATAGTCTCACATATTCCGTTTTCGCTCCCAGTCGCGATGTACAATGAAATCATGATTAAAAGGCACTGTGTTTTGCCCTGCTTTAATACTGACAGTATATGCCATGTTGCACAAGAGATGTGTGCAATATTCTCCTGACTTTTTAAAAATTAAAAGTAGTCTGTAAAGGCTCCCATTTTGTATAGATCAGTGGTTCCCAACCAGTGGTCCCCAAAAACTAAAATATGGTCCGCAGCTTCACCATTACTACACCGTTGCAATAAGAGCGACTGGTCTCGCGAAACCCTCTTATAGTGCTGAGACAACAGGGGTGTTGCGAGGGGAGAGGCTAACTATCCACAAAAGGTATGACAACAAGCCTCCTGACTGCTGCTTCTCCTCTTCCCTCCCTCTCCCTGAGCGGAGCCATGCAGTGGGGTGCCTGGAAGTCAGGGCATCTTGGTGCCTTCATTTTTAGGCCTGTTCCTGGGGTTGTTTGGGGTGCTCATTCAGAAATTGACATTGGATAGACCACATCAGCTTTAGATTATTAAAAATGGTTTTCTGTGGGCAAACAAATTGAGACTTGTGGATGGAATAGGTTCTGTGTCAGAAACTAGAGCTAATGTGGTCTATCCAATGCAGTTTTCTGAATCAGCACCTCAAATAACCAAACCAAATCTAAAGTTGATGAAAACTGAATCGTAATGCTTTTGGTACTAATGTTGGAGAGTGGTCCCTGGTCAAAAAAAGGTTGGGAACAACTTGTATAGATGAATGGAGATGTTCCCGTGATTTAACCCTTTACAGCCATTTTTCCTCTCAAAAATAGCTCTGCCAAGCTACTTTGCTACTGAACAGTTCAGTTGTGTGTAGTGGTGCTTTAAGATATATTTGTGATTTCCGGTGGAAAATATAATATGTAATTAAAAGCTGATTGTAGGTAATGCGCACATCTACCATGTAGAATAATGACTTGTTCTACATAGCAAAAAGAGGTTTTTAAAATAATAACATCCTGAAGGCATTGTATACCAGTCAGAAGAAAAACAGAAGTATCAAAGGAATTGAACCAGTAGGCTTTCCTCAATCCTAGATGATTGCAGAGCTTGGTAGAGTTATCTTGTGGACTTCAGATTTCAGAATCGCCCAGCTAGCATGCCAGCTGAAGCTTCTGGAAGATGTAGTCCAAAAAAACCCCCACAAATATAGTTTTGCCACTCTCTGACTGAAAGTACTCTCATTTCTATTTGTCATGTGAATGTAATGGTTTGTCCAAGATCGGTGAAACCACAAATGGAGTAGGCTGAACACAAACAGTAACTGTGGTGGTCTTAGCACCCTGTAATTCAGGAAAATCAAAAGCTCAGCTGAGGTGCAGCTGGTTTAAATAATAGCAAGCAATTAGGCTGCAGACAAAATCAGCGGTGGCATTTTATAATTACAATTAATTTAAAGGTTAATTTCCTTTGGTGCTAAAATCTTATTTAAAACATTTACCAGGAAAGGAAATTAGGATGTTACTATCAAGATGTGTGGAGTGCTTCTGGGAATCCATGCCTATTATCAGTAGAAAATTAGGTTAGGCGCAAATTGGGAATTTCAATTCATTTTAGTGTATAATAGATGGTGATCAGGGCCATGAGTTTGGAGGATTTTGGTTAGGGGAGCCTGCATTTGCATTTCTTTTGTTTGAGGGATTAATTGCAAGTGTTTCTAACAAAAGGGCTGGGTTTATATGTGAACAAGCACAACATGAAAAGAAAATTGGTTATGGATTGCTGCCTTCCTAACTAATGAAGTTGATGTTAAGAAAATCCCTTAGAGACATAGTTATGCTATGCAAAAAATAAAAAAAAATAAAAGAGAATTGCACACTTAAAATGGTGCTGTCACTTGCTTCCTATATGTTAATTTACCTTCTCTTTTACTGCCTTGCCCCATCCCTCTCTGAGCAGTCACCACAATCTGCTGAAGGAGCTGTCAAGCCTGAGTTTAAAATATTGTATATAAGTTCTTTAAAAGAAGCAATATTCCCATTTCGGTGTCTCACCATTATCATAAGATAATGTCTAGACAGAGGACAAAATACCCTAAAAGAGGACAAAATACCCTAAAAGAGGACAAAATACCCTAAAAGTATCCACCTGATCTTAGAATCTGTCAATTTATTTACGACATTTCTACCCTTTCGTTCTTACCCCGGAGAGGACTCAAGGTAGCTTTACATATGGGAAATGATTCAATGCCTTAAAACACAATGTACACTTAAATAAATATTAAAATAGAATTAAAAAGTACATTAAAACAATTAAAACATTTAAAAACAATTCAGTGTTAAACATGTAATCCATGAACATAATCTGGGCCATTCCAATGGTTATCGCACATTGTTCCAAGTCTATCTATTGCACAAATTCTCTGAAGGCTTGGTCACAATGCCACGTTTTCACTCTCTTGCGGAAGGTCAGGAGGAAGGGGGTTGATCTAATATCCCTGTAGAGAGAGTTCCATAGCTGAGGAGCCACCACTGAGAAGGCCCTGTCTCTCATCTCCACCAACCGTGTCTGCAAACTGTCAAAACTGCCTCTGGATAACCCTTGCCTAAGAAACCCCTATGAATCTGTGGTGTTGCCATTGGTCGGCCAACAATTTGAAATCACATGTACACACTGTTTCATAAAAAGTATGCCTAATTATTGTAGGAAGCCAAGGGGATTGTGACCATCATTAATTGTAGCCTGCTGTTGTGTTTTATTCTTCATCTATTCACACCCTTATGTCCTAAAGCAATTAATATTTATTTTTCTAAAAGCTCCATTAATTTAAATAGTAGAAGAGCCCACTATAAAAATAGAATGCAGCAATGAGCAGCTAAAAAGCATAAGCATTTGTGAACCCTCTTTTAAAAATCAAGTCACATTCAAGTCTTCTGTTCAGAATATTATTACAGAATGTCTGTCTTAAGTTTGTAACTGTAGTAACTGGGATACTCCCTCTCCTACCAAGTCAATCGATTCATTAATTTCTGGTTTTATTCATCATACAATTTCTTGAACTGGCACAGACATCAGATAAATGCAAGCTATGGTTCCAAAGCTAGTCAGGGCTTCAGATTTGGAGGAACATTGTTAGCCATGATTAGCATAGGATAGATATTGTACTAGGTTGAATGAGAGAAGAAAAATGGGCAATCCAGACAAACAAGAAAGGGCTGGGGGCAGAATCTGCATTGCCATGATCCACTCCAGATTTCCAAGTCATGGCTAGAGTTTGATTTGTATTACATTTCAGTATCCCTAAGTGGCATAACTAAGTGCAAGTCTGGTGGGGACATAAGCCTACATCCCAACAGCCATGATAGTTATGCATCTACCCACTGCATGCTGCCTTCTTTCTCACAACTTTCATCCACTTCGGAAATAGTGTTGGACAACTTAAAAGGCTAACACTGTTTAGCAGCAGTTAAAGTAGCATCCAGTTCTTTATGAATGAATTCTGTAAAAAGAAATACCATTACTTATCCAAGAAAATCACATCTCTATTCTCTCAAACTCTTACCTGAGTTTTGGCCTGCTAAAATTTACAGCTGAATATCCGGTGATGGGAGGAAGAATGGCCTACTGGCTCCCCGGAGCAAACCAGAGTATGTATATTCCTTTAACATTTTGAATGTTTTGCTTCGCATCTCCTTTGGTTGGTTGGTGGGAATCCTTGCTGAGCCTTTCCTGTAGCATCTCTTAACCTGTAGACTCCACTTACCTATGAGATTTCCCTTAGTCTGATCCTTGCTGGTGCTTCACATGCACTGTAAGACATCCTTGTCCAGAATACCTTTGAAGGGGTTGATGTTTTTCTGCTTTGTAATGTGTGCCCTACAGACATGTTTCTATTATACTTGATGCTATATTATTGATTTTATATGAGCTTCTGAGGGCTTTAGTAAGAGTGAACTGGAAAAAATTTTTCACATAAACATACCAATATTACAGAGAGGTATTATACAACTGCTCTACAACCCACCTGTCCCCCAAATGCACTATGCACTATACAAGAAAAGAACTATCTTAAGCATATAACTATCTGAAACACAGAACAACCTTGTCTGAAATCTATTATACATTCAGGTACAGATGTATGAGCTCATATGAGCATGTTAAAGATTATAATTGCATTAAATACAGGCCAAGATATGTATAGGAAGAAAGAACAAGGCTATGTTCTCATTGTTAAGATTCCCAGGTTGAATTCTGATCCATCTCTATCCTCCCCTTCATGAGGCTTATGTTTCTCCTGTACTACCACCCCAATGATGTGGCTATGTGGTCTGGAGATAGCCAAGAGTAATTTAGTTTTGTCCCTATAACCAGACACACTACAACAAAGATGTCCCAAGGTCTTCCAAAAGACCTAGTTGGTGTTGTCATCATTGTGTATCCAATTATTGGGACATGACCAGAAGTTTCTCGGCCTCCCTGTGACCCCCTCAGACACTAGATGGCTGTGTTGGGAGGTTCAAGGTCTCAACAGAGTGGGAATCTTTGCCTGAAGCATGCAGTGAATTAATCCTTCAACAGCAATCATAAAAAGGTATACGCCACAGTTATACCAATACATGTTACTAACATACCAACACATTTCACAGATAGAAATTGACATGTGCCTAAGCAGTATCAGAATGTGATCAGTACGGCAGTGAGTAAGAAATCTGAGGCTAGGAGAGGCTGAGGCAATTTGCTTTAGCCTGAACTTTTTTGAAAGGGCTCAATTTCATCCCCTTCTCTCTCTTCTGCTGAATTAATGGAGCAAGGATAATTTGCACTTTGAACTCAGACTGGAATTCACCTTCACAGCTCCCAATAATTCTACCCCACATTTGTGGATTCAGCTTATGTGAATTCGAATACTCATGGATATGATTAATCTGTTCTCTCTAAAAAAATATCTAGGTCCTGCACCATAACTCAGTGCTCAACTTCCAGTGGTAGACCTAAAGTTTCCTTAAAAGGTTTTTTTTTTTCTCGTAGGTAAAAGGGGGGGGGTATATTTGTGTTTTCTACACTCTATCAGGAGCTCTATGCCCCTACACCCTGCAAAAAGAGAGAGACAGAGAGAGCCTACTTAATAATCAGACATGCTCCTTGTACTGAAGGAAATCTTGGCTGGGTGACATACAGTTTCTTCCATGGAGGGAAATACAACCATACAAGAGTTCAAGATTGATCATTCTATTATTTTAAAATAAAGATAAAGTGGGAGCAGTTTTAAGAAACAGAAGTGGCTCAGACCAGACCTAAGAGAGACATGAGTAAAAAATGGAAAGTATTGGGAAATCAGAAGATAGTAGTGTTTTTTTCTATGAAAGTAATCAATTTGCATGGCAGAAGCTGAACAGCAGCCAATCCCACACCCATGTGCACATTGTTTTCATTATTTGCTAGTAGTAAGTATATATATATGTGAAAAATCCAAATAGAGATAACATTTGGAAAGCTAACAGATTGAGAATAGGCTTTTGAAACACAAATCCAGAAGAAAAGAGAAAATGGTATATCCTGTGAACAATGATGTATTAGGGCAGGTAAGCATAGTCCCCTGCCCCTGGCTATCATCAGCTAGTTCACATTGTCAAGGAAAAATACAAAAAAAACCCATCTATCTGCAGCCAAAAAGAAAGGAAAGCCTTAATGGATGACAGATGGAACTCTTCAAGCAGTTAAGGACAGATGAGAAGCAAAAGTAAAAGGTGACAGGAAATAGTCAGAATCCTAAATGCAACTGTTCAACAACTTGTGTGCAGAGGCATGGAAAACATATATAATATCATATTTATATGAATCCAATCCGCATTTCAATTTTTAAGACTTGAAACCAAAAAGTATTTGCTGACAAATACAGTGACAAAAAATGCATCCTTTACAGTTGTATTCATTTATTTATTCACTTATTTTATTTATACCCTGCCTTCCTCCTTGAGGGGACTCAGGGCTGCTAACGGTCATGCACTTTGATCAATATTAAACAAAACAAATACAACATTTAAAAACAATTAAACCATATTGTATGTGTTAGGTTAAAATGCAGTTTAAAATACATTAAGTACAGTTTAAATGCATTTTAAAACACTCAATCCATTCCAAAATCCCACCTAAAACTTCCCCAGTAACGTGCCCCTTATCCAAATGAGTGATTACAGAAAAGTCAGTTCACCAAATTTGCTCCCAAGTTTGAGGATGTGTTTGCTATCAGACATTATTAGACCCAATGAATAATAATTTCATTGAATGAATAATGGGTTCTGAGTTATTTAACTTTGAATGCCACTCCAGTAATTGCTCTGGATTGGGTGGCTTTGTCATAAGGCAAAATGGTAGAGTGTCTACTTGTCATTCTGTAGATGAGGAGATTTCAGAAGTGCAACTTTGTTTCTTTCTTTATTTGCTTTTTTACATGCTCACCTGTGTCACTCACCCTTGTGGTGTTTACTTTAAAAAAAGCAAATTCAGCAGGACTCAATCACTCCATCTACAGAATAACAGACAGAAGCTCTACCACTATGCTACTTCACCTTATGACACCTTATGACAGGCCTGGACAACTTATGGCCCTGAGTTGTTTGGGTTCCAACTCCCAGAAACCCTAGCCACCTGATCCAATGATCAGGAATTCTGGAGCTGAAGTCCAAAACAAGGTCTCTTAATCCAGAGCAATTAGTGAGATAGTGTTCAAAGTTAAGCTTTAAATAATAATTGTGAGTCATACAGACAAAATAAGAAACATGGGTGTCTTATGGAGAACCAATCCCCAAATTCTGAGTGGCACTATGTAGCCTCTCCTTTTCTGTAGAGTAATATTTGTCAGCTGAATGAAAGGCACTGACATGAAAGGGCAGTACTGATCAACACTATTTTTCAAGTTTGCAATAGAATCTAATGCACCATCAAATCTAATGTGCACTCCTATATTTGTGATGTAATTTGGTCAAAAAAGGTGTAATATAAATAAAAATATAAATCAATACAGAAAAAGAAGTTAAAAGGAAAGCAAAGAAATTCTGGTGGGAAATTCATGATAAAATACAAAAACTCCTACACATAAATTTCAAATCAGAGCCAAAATACTACTTACTTGGAATGGTGGACTGGGAAAAGGGAATAGGCAAAGATAAATATATGGCAACCGTGGCCAGAATCGCATATGCTAGGTATCGGAGAAACCTTAAAACTGATGGAGATTATGAATATGGACAGACTGACATATTTGATGACAACACAACAAGAAAAAGGAAAATCTCAAATAGACTGGCTAATAGTAAAAGAATATTTCAAAAAGAAAAACATGAGAATATTGATATAATCAAGGGAAATAGCATGTTTCTCAGTCGAGAGTGTCAGTAGATAAGAATTTTGCTGTTTGGGAAAGAATGTTATAGAATCATAGAATCAAAGAATCAAAGAGTTGGAAGAGACCTCATGAGCCATCCAGTCCAATCCCCTGCCAAGAAGCAGGAATATTGCATTCAAATCACCCCTGACAGATAGCCATCCAGCCTCTGTTTAAAAGCTTCCAAAGAAGGAGCATTCAGCACACTCTGGGGCAGAGAGTTCCACTGTTGAACAGCTCTCACAGTCAGGAAGTTCTTCCTCATGTTCAGATGGAATCTCCTTTCTTGTAGTTTGAAGCCATTGTTTTGCGTGTTCAAGAAGGGGAAAGATGTTGGAATATAATGATCAAATGTTATAATGAAGTATTTTATACTTTGGAATCACCTCCAAGAAATAGATGGAAGTCAAATTGTAGCCAATGATTTACTATTTTTTCTACTTTTTTCTTCTTTTTTTCCCTTTTTTCTATTATTTCTCATCTTTTTTTCCCTTTGGTTATATTTTTATCGGTTATCTGTATGTATCTTTTTACTTTTTATTTTATCTTATATTTTTCTTTTTTGTTACTGAACTCAAAAATCAATAAAGTTTTTTAAAAATACAGAAAAATAAGTTGATAACAAAAAAGAAAAAATAAGAAACTTCTTTCACAAAATCAGAGAAATCTATAGAAAATTCTATCGAAGAGTTGGGATGCTCTACCACCAGCAATGTATCCATTATATGATGAAGTAGCAGTAAACAGATAATGGAAATAATGCGCAGAAAAACTGTGAAGCATCTGAAGTCTAAAGATATAATTGATATATATAATTGATATATAATTGAATATTAACACTAGGATTGTCCATGATGCCATGATATTCCAAGTCTCTGTATACAGTTGTGAAAACTAATCAGTGAAAAAGCTGATAGGAGGAAAATAAAACCATTTGAAATGTGTTGCTTAATGTGTAGAAGAGTTCTACAGATATGATAAACTGCTTTTTAAAAAAAGACAAATAAATAGGTCCTGGAGGAAATCAAGATAACTAGAAGCCAAGATAACTAAACTGAGAGTGTTTGGTCATATAATAAGAAGATATTTTATTTATTTATTTATTTATCGTGTCAGGGGCAACCAGACCATTGTATTACATTTCTAACAGAACAAAACAAACAAACAGATTTTAAAAAACACAAAGTTTGCAAGTTTGGTAGTTGATTAAATGTCCTTTGACCAGTAGCTGGCCACTTGGAGTGCCTCTGGTGTTGCCGCAAG